ACAGGGTCGCTGGGTGAATTGGGAGAGTGCTGAAAAAAGGAAACTCTCATGGAGTGAAATCTGGGGAATGGAGGCTATTAGACTAAGTTTAGTCATCCGAGCGACATACAATGTGCTGCCTTCCCCAATAAATCTGCAGCTGTGGTTTGGAAAGGACCCATCCTGCCCCCTGTGTACAGTCCCAGCCACTCTCGAGCACATCTTGGTTGGTTGTAGGACTAGCCTTACTCAGGGCAGATATACACGGAGACACAACCAGGTTCTCAGGTGTCTAGTCGAGAAAGCTGAGTGCAAAAGAAAGGTGCAAGCGGACTTGGATCAGAGGCTAATTTTTCCCACAGAGATCGTAACAACAACTCTGCGACCAGACCTCGTCCTTTGGTCTAACTCCCGCAAACTTGCGTACGTCATTGAGCTGATGGTACCATGGGAGGAAGCAATTGAGGAAACATTTGAGCGTAAGAAGCTGCGGTATGCCAACTTGGCAGCTGAGGCAGAGGACAGAGGCTGGAAGATCAAGGTGGTGGAAGTGGGGTTTAGGGGCTTTGTTGCCAGTACTGCCAGTACAACAGCAAAACTGCTCAGAGAGATCGGGATCAGAGGACAGGCGCAACGGCAGGCTACAAGAGAATTAGCTAACACTGCTGAGAGGACCTGAGCTGCTGGCAAAGTTTCTGGGCTGCCTTTCCTCATAACAGCCATCCCTCAAGAGTCTCTACATTTAAAGCAATGCATTATCAGGGTCCTTTACTGAACCAGCTCTATTTGTGTTGGGATGGAGACACTGACACGGTGACACCAAATATCCATATTTTATTTTTAAACAAATAAAAAGCAAGAAGGCTCATCTCATACATCCTGAGACGGCGTTAGCCGAGCCCAGCACTGGACATGCTGACAAAATGTAATAAACTGCAACACATGCAATACTTCTGCATTGGCAAAAAACAGTAATATCCTGTAGTGAGTCAAGTATTGTGATAATTTCTTTTGGTGGGGTGTCTGATTGTGTGCAGTCTTCTATTGTAAGCTATTACATTAGCTGACACTGGTGCTCAGTTCATCATTCAAAGGCAGTAACACTAACACATCCTTCAAACAGCAGAGAGAGGATTTGAGCTGCCACGATAACCTTTCATGATGCATATGATGTAACTAAAGAGCTTCTTCCAATAATATTTGACCTGTTGGTGAAATCTGTGATATGTTAGCCTGTAAGGAAACATTGTGGAGGAGAGTTTCTCAAATATGAGTTCGACAGCTTTCCGCTGTAAAGAAACCGAGTCTGCATGTGGACATAATAAGACCCACGACGGGGTGCAAATAACAGAGTCCATGTTCAGTCAAGGTGAAGAAACAGATCTTTATTTCATATGGATTCATCAGGTATTGATGAGCAATACAACATCCGGTGACAGCAACAGGTCCATGCACAGGCCCAGGGACCCAAACAACAACAGAGTGCAGCCCGGGGCAACACCCCACCCATGGGCCTGCACTGGCTCACTCTCAGGGTGGATTAAATAGAGGGGAAAGAATAAACTCACAAAAGAAATCACACAAAACACAAAAACAACACAAGGGTGTGTGGATCTGCAGGGAGACTACTAAACATGTTACTGCTACACCAGAACTCCTGGAACACCCATCTACGCCCTCACTGACTGCAGACGCCTCCACAGCTCTGAAATGTATACATACATGTTTATATAGCACCTGCACAGGTGCCTGGAGTGAGGTGTGTCCTGGTCCCCTCACAGCTGATTGCATATATACACATATGTGCTGTAACGAAGGCTCCTCCCCCTTTTTCCTTGAATCCCGGCTGCCTCGCTTGTTTTGCTGCTCGCTGCTCTCGGGCGGTTCAAACATGATTAAAGATGACGAGTTTTTTCCTTTTTGCCGTGGCCTCTGTTTGCAGGTGCAATCAGGTTAATCGACTGAGAGCTTTCAGCGGAAAATAATGGATGAGGGAGGGCGGCGAGGTAAAAGCAGGAGGCTGTCACATTAAGCATTCAAGCATTCGTTTTATAAGAACTGTTTACCAGACAAGCTTTGACTGATCTGACCGCAGCTAAACCGTCAGCAGGTTACTGGGAACCAAAGTTAAACCCAGTTTGATCAGATAACTAAAACATCTGCAGCCAACTGAACCGTCCTGCCGCACATCTGTAACTGAATATCAGAATAACACAGAATCACAGGCTGTGAGGTCAGTCAGCTCTCACAGATGGTCACAGCCTGATCCATAAACTGTACAGGAGCTCACCTGTTTCAGTTCATGATTAGGGGCGTGTCCTATGACCTTGTCAGTGGTTAATAACAGAAAATCCTAGAGTACATTTGAGGATTCTGATTGGACGTCCTGAGCACTGATTATATTCTGTGTATCTGCGTGGCGCTGCTGTATCTGTGCAGATAACCGAGCTAGCATTAACTGATACTCCAGCTTCTTTTCTCTCCTGCAGACGAAACGCTGAGGCTGTAAAACGCAGACTTCATCTTTTATCTGCAGGTGTGACCCGTCCACATCAGTGATGTAATCAAAGTGCGCCTCCTGCGACTCCTTCAGTCATTCAGGGTTTGTGTTTTCACTTCTGGCCACCAGATGAATATCTGTATACACTCACAGCCACTTTATTAGGTACGCTGGTACTGGTGCTGGAAACATTTCTCAGCGCTCCATGTTGACAGGATGACATCATCACACAGCATCCATGATGAGAATCTCCCGTTCGGTCCCAAAGCTGCCGTTGGACTGAGACCTGTGACTGTGGAGTGAACTGCCTCAGTGTTATCCTGCAGCAGTAACACGCAGGTAAGCTGTGGAGTTCAATGATGATGAAGCCCAAAGTGTGCTCAGAAAATCTTCCCACAGCATCACACCAGCAGCAGCGTGGACACTGATACTGGCAGGATGGATCCACACTAAGCGGAGAGCTTTTTCCGCCTTCTCTTGTCCAGTTTTGTGAGTCTGTGTAGCCTCAGTTTCAGGAGTGGCACTCTGTGGTCTTTTTGGAGCGTTCTGCTCACCCCAGCTTTACCTTTGCTTGTTTCGGTACATGCTCATGTATGAAGGATGAAATATGATGAATGAATGTTTACGCAGGGTCAAAGGGCACAGCATCACTCTGTTAGTTTCTCTTCAAAGAGAGTTTAACTTCAAATCACTAAGGGAGGAAGGGAAGGAGGAATAGGAGGAGGAAGGGAAACACAGGAAGTGGAGAGGAGGCTGGGAATGGAGGAGGAGCATGGAGGGTAAACTAATGAGCCCAGATGGCTTAGAGAAAACATGCCGACCTGAGGAGGAGGATTAAATGTACAGCGTGTGAAAGCATGTGTCCTCGGGCTAAACGCCGAGCTCACACTCAGAGAAAAGCTGCACTTTGTCATGTTAATGAGCTGAAGATCAGTCCGTGTGTGTCTGCGAGCCTCCGTCTAACGCTCACACTCCCAGCCTGCTGACTGAGGAGCGTCTCAGGTCAGTGCTGCCAGCGTCTCGCTCACTTTACTGATGTTCCAGCGTGTTCTCGGCACAGGCTCTGAACACAAGGTGCCTCTGGAGATGACGCCCCGTTTTAAGCCCTGCAGAGTCCCGTGTGAGGAGGCCCCGTGGGTTAGCTCCAGTCTGCTCTCGTCAGGAAGGTTCGGCTGGGGTGAAGCTGCACTGACCACAGCTTTCACACCTCAGAAGAAGATTTATGGTGCTGCACGAATCATTTCTAAAGACCCGCGTGTTCCTCATCACGCACAATAAGACAAACTGCCCACAAAGCGAGGCCGTGCAGGGCTGCTGGCTCTGACCAAGAGCCCGACGACAGCAGAACATCTGCAGCTGTGCAGCCACCGAGCGCTGTGAGAGAGAGCCAGATAGAAACAGTAGAAACAGTAGAAACAGTAGAAACACTTCATTCAGTCTCACAGGAGCAGGCTGAGCCCACAGTCCTCCACCATCCACAGTGACACACTGAAGCTGTGTACACCAGTGGATCTGTCACACTACTACTGCTGATAATAATAATAGGAGCTATTATTACTTACTTATTACTATTTTTAGAGTTTTTACATCAGTCGTAGCCAAAAATGTTCATAATAAATAATAATACGATTTTAAGTCACATGTTAAATAAACAAAAAAGTGAAAATCCGACTTTGTTCTCGCAGACGTTGTTTCCTCTTTAAAACGATGCTTCACGTGGACTTTCATTCGGCCTGCACGACACCATGTAAATGCAATTTTAAGTAGAACTTGTTCTTTGTTCCGCCCGCACTGCGGTGTTATTGATCTACACTAGTCTCTTAAATGTGCTTTATAAATAAACGTCAGTCACTTACAGCCTCCTTCAGTCAAAGTAAAGCCTTCGGTTTGACCCTCTGTCGTTTTAAACAGGACCATTATTTATGTCTGAAGGAGCAGGTCTGTCTCGTTCTGCAGGCGGCAGCGCCCCCTGCTGTTGTGAAGGTTACACCCTGATCATGAGCCCTGCAGTCAATATTCAGAGTTAGGGAACCTGAGAGGACACAGAGGTGGTTCTGTTCATTCACTTTTCCAGCATCGTTACCTCTGAAGAAGATCATTCAGCTGCTGTAACAGGCTGAAGCTCTGATCCTCAGACCCTCTGATCCTTCAAACATTTACAGGAACTCCTTCAGAACCAGAAGTTTTTAATCAAAGCTCCCAGTCTGTAGCAAAGAACACACGTTGTTGTTCCACATTTCAAAGCTAACAGCCACAAAATGATTTTGGAAGAAGGACACTCAGCTGGAAGTCAAAGGTAGTCATCATGTCCCACCTGCTGGCATGAGCCTTGAATGTTTACCCAGAATGCATTTTTTGGAGTTTCCTGCAGTGATTTATCAGAAACAGATCACACATGCAGAGTGCTGATGCTGTTTCTGCTCCTCTGCCTCACAGATACGAACCTGCTGCTCGGGCAGAGACTCGGTCCTTAGGCTGGGACTCTGAGACGAGGCATAAACAGATTCGTAGTTTTGATCCAAGCTTAAATGTGTTTTTTAGCCCTGTAACTTTGATCTGGACCCTTTCTGTCAGTGGAAACGAGCTCAGGTTCAGTCCCTGCGATATCCCAGTGGAAGGAGGGCAGCTCAGCTGTATGTGTTACTGCGTCAGCACTGCTCTAAAAAATAAACACAAAATTACAGAAACACTTTGTTGGCACTTTAGAGAGAATGTTTTGGTGAATAAACATTTGTTTATTTGTTTATTTATTTTACTGTGGACACTTTAAAAAGAAGGAACTTCTGTTACTTTTACTATGGAAGCCGGTGGGGGTCTTCATCAGTAGGACGAGCTGTAAAGTTGATAAAAATACAGGTAAAAGTGCGTCTGCTGGGCCGATTCTGGCCCGTGGGCCATATGTTGGACACCCCTGTGCTCACCTGATTCTGTATACGGACCGTACCTTGCTCAAGGGCACCTCAGAGGAACCGTTCGGTGGATTTGAACCCCGACCTTCCGATCATGGGGAAAAGACTCCACCTACCGATCAATCTCTGCCCTCACACACCTGAGGAAGCTGCTGCTGTGGGTTGATCTCCCCTATAATGTGCAGCGCCACCATCAGGTCAGCATGTGAACGCGCTCAATGCTGTGATTTATGGTGGGGGTGGGAGGGGGGTGTCTGCGGACATGAAGACACTTCCACTCAGTCATAAAGCGGCTGTGACGCAGTTATTATTATTATTATTATTATTATTGTCGGTGAGATTAGGTCAGCTGCAAAGCATGCAGGGATACCTCTGTGTGTGTGTGTGTGTGTGTGTGTGAGGGAGTGAGTGAGTGGGAGTGGTCTCCTGCAGGTCACGTGACGCAGGCCTTTGTTAATGTGTGATTCCGTGGAGAAAGACCAGGAGGACAAAAAAAGTCGCGACCGATCGAGCCGCCGAACCACCCTCATCCGTCCACGCTCCACCCTCTCTGCGCCCCGGCCTGGATGCTGCTCAGAGGCCGCTGGCACTTCTACCTGGATTCGTGTGTCCGCGGCTCTCCCCGCCGGTTTGAGTGCGAGGCAGCGGGGCTGGGGGATGGAGGCAGAGTCCGGGCTGTAGGGGTGGAGGAGGTGTGGGGGTCGGCTGTGAAGCCCCGGGCCCTGCTCGGCTTTGTTATCCCGGGATCGAGCTGCAGCCCTGCTCCGTATTTCTGAGAGCCGAGGTGAGGAGCACATGGACGGAATCTGTGAGCTGTGCGTGGATCAGAACCCGCTGCGTGGATTTGTGCTGTGAGGACCTAGTGAAGGAGGACCCAGAAAAACACGACAGATTCTTTTACTCCAGTTTGTGTCTCTTTGTGTTCATCCACCTCCCTGCGCCCACACCAGCCTCCCCCGTTATCCCCCCTCCGTCCTCCATCATGGCTCCAGAGCTCCGGGTCTCCTGCTTCTGCTGCCTGCTGGTGCTGCTGGTTCTCCCCGCCGTCCGGAGCTCGTTCCACCGCAGCGGTGTGGACTGCGGCCCCGGGAGGGCCGAAGACTGCCCAGGTGAGCTCGCTCACAGCCTGCTTACACTTGA